ATAGGGGGTCTTCGCTTCTCTCATAATATGATGAATTATGAACTCATGCAGTGTATTTATATGATGGAAGATTCAGAGCAGTGAGCATCTAATTAAACTGGAATTTGCTAATGTAAGATAAAGTGACGGCCATCCCTTTGGGAGGCCTCAAAGGGATTTGCCCAAATTCGTGAAGGATCAGGCTATAAATCCCTGTGAGGGCTGGAGTTTTTACCCCCTTATAAGGAAGGAAAGCACGGCAGCCCCTGGATCCTATGTATGCTTACGCAAGTGGCGTAAGAAAAGGGAGGAGAGAAAGTAGGGTTGTTTTGGCTACACCCATCACAGACATGCTGCTCCTCCAAGGTGATATATTAATGAAATAAATGTGTCTTCCTCATAGCCTTTCACGAGGCATCGAAGACCTGGCGGTTTCCCCGGGCATTTGCGTCAAGTGGATGGATGAGGCTCTGCTACTCTCGATGGTGAATGGGGTCACTGGTGATCCTTGGGTGCTGAGCGGCTATTTTGAGTGGGTTTGTGTGTTTTAATCTTGTTCGCTCCTTGGAGTCCCTTGAGTGAGATGGGCGGCTGTATAAATCATACAAATAAATAAATAATAAACCAACCCTAGAGGATGAAGTCTAAGCCCTGTTTTGCATTTTTCTTAATCTTTTGCTGTTTTTGAGCTAGAGAGGTCATTTTAGGACCCAAGATGCAGCTGATAGAAAGTAAGGTAAATCAGCTTCATTTTCATTGTGTTTCAGCACGTCAGCTGTTCAAATGTAGATACGTACTAATACAGTATGTATATATATATGTCAGGGCAGTGGAACCAAAGGACATTTTCCAGGGGTTGCTTCGAAGATTTATGTTAGGAAAGAGAAAAGCAGTTTGATCCACTTAGAGCAGTGTTTCTCAACCTTAGCAACTTTAAGACGGGTGGACTTCAATTCCCAGAATTCCCCAGCCAGCATGGCTGGCTGGGGAATTCTAGGAGTTGAAGTCCACCCGTCTCAAAGTTGCTAAGGTTGAGAAACACTGGCTTAGAGCATGACCTGGCATTTGTAACAGTGAGAGAAAGAATGAAGGCTGGGAAATTCACATTTAACAGTGACCACACCAAGAAAAAATACTAAAAATGGGAAGACGGGAAAGTTGAGTGCTAGTGAAAATGAGACCGTGGAATGGAAGGGGTGGCTTTGGGGGAGAGGGGGGATAGAGCATGAACAGCTGGAGTTACTTTGCTCAAGAAGAAAAGGAACAAGGCATCTCACTGCCTAGGTGATAAGAGGCATTTGGAAAAATTCAGTGGGTCCAGGATATTCTTTGGTTTCTGGCTTTGGTTATAAATGACCCCCCCCGGCCCCCATGTATGGCAAGCCCCCATTCTCCTTGCCTTTAGAAAAGCTATTCAAGCCTAGCTTTTTCCCCTAGATGTTTGGTTCCAGTTGAGTGAGGTCCCCTTTTAGTTGTTGAATTATCTTGTTTGGTTTACCAGTTTATATTTTGGCACGTGTGTGTGTGTGTGTTTTAATGTATTATTTGTTAGTGTGTGTATTTTAATGATGTACAGTTATAGTTGTTACTATTCATTTTTGTTGCCAGCGTCACATTGCTTAAGTTGGGTGGCCATATAAAAGTGTGAAATCAGTCTGTCAATCAATTTGTAGAATTTAAAATTGGGAGCTTTAAAGTGGGACATCTCTTTAGATTCAGACTATATAAAAATAACTGGACAGAATCAAAGAGTGGAGAATGACTGCAAGGGAGAAAAGATTAATCAACATGTACCTGACTGAAGACCTTTTTAGCCAATCTGAACCAGCGATTCATACTTAGCCACATGCAAAAAGTCACATTTGTGGATTAACAGGGATTTTTTATTGGAGGGAGAGGTGTCCTTGGTGTATACACTCATGTCTGCGTCAAATGAGGCAACAAGAGGCTTAAGAAAATATATGCACAGAAGGGATTCTGAAGAGTTTGAAGTTCAGATTAATTTTGGAGGCAAATTAAAGTCCTGACCAAGCAAAAACAAAACAGCTGCCCAAATTCTGGGATGTAGGATTACAGGTGGTCCTCACTTACCAACTGTTCATTCAGTGACCATTTGAAGTTATGACAACACTGAAAAAGGAAATTTACTACTGGTCCTTGAAGTTGCAGCCATTGCAGTATCCCATGGTCACGTGATCGCCATTTGCAACCTTCACAGCCAGCTTCCAACAAGCAAAGTCAATGGGGAATCAGGAAGTCATCAGGAAGTCGCAAGTCATGGTCACGTGACATTGCATTTAATAACTCTCAGTGGTTTGCTTAACGACCACAACTGGAACGGATGTCATAAGTCAGCACAATCGTGTGATGTTTCACTGAACGACCACATTGCTCAGTGATGGAGTTACCAGTCCCAATTGCGGTCAGTAAGTGAGGGCTACCTGTATAAATGATGCAGAAACTCTGGAACCATTTGGAATGGATTACAAATAATAAAAACAACTCTCAAGAGAAATTCCTGGGGCTTTGATTGAGTTCAGGCTAGTTAACAGAAGAATGAGAAAACCATAGTAAGAAAAACAAAAGCGTGCAAGTGATGTGGTAACCAGCTGATCTCTCCTGAACATGGGAGATTGGCCTAATAAGGCCATTAATATGGACCTAGAATAGGACTGTTTCCCCCCCTCGCCCTTGGGCAATTTATCTTCAGGTGCTAGTTGACTGGAGAGGGAGGCAGGCATTTTAATCAATAGTGGAAAGACGCAAAGCTCTGTCCCCTTTGCGAGATGTTTGTGCCTTTTTTCCCTTGATCCTAGCTGTCTTCAAGATGCTGGTTTTGCTGTCTTGGTCATAAACATACATTCTTCCAGCAGACTGTCAAGTAAATGTCCATAACTATGTCTGTCCAGAGAGCCGATATGTGCGATACCTATTAATGGCTTCCATTAATTAATTCCATTAATTAATTCCATTAATTTTTTTCATTTAATAGGTGCTTAGAGTTGCCTTATTTGAGCTGATACCCTAGAACCCCAAGGTCTCTGTTCTCCCCTATTTGGCTTATGCTAGGTCATCTGGCATTACTAAATTACCATTCATACCAACTGGGTTAGTTAAGAGCCACACGTGGTTCAAATCATTTAGAGGAGCAGAAATCCAGATTACACATGCCCCAGAACGATCATTCGCAATATTTCATGAGATGCATATTTGGTTCCTGGGGAGCAAATAGCAGGCTAGAACCTTGTTTGGAGAATTCTGCAGTCCTTTTAGAATGTGGTACTTTAGGCATGAATTCATATGTTGATGCATAGGAGGCTAACGTACTGAGCGTGATGTGGTAGATGATATGCAGTGTTGGTCCTCCAGATACATTGGGATTGCAATCCCAGAATTCCAAGTCAGCATGGCCAATAGCCAGGAATTCTGAGAGGGGAATCTCAAACCATCCAGAAGATTGCCAAGTTTCAGTGGCAATCATCTTGGTCTTTCTGCACGGATAAGGCCTCTCTTTGTATGCCTTGGGAGAGTAGTAAGAACACGTTTCTCAAGGGACTGTTGTGCCTATGACTCTGAGCCAGAGTGATTTCTTGTAATGGGATGTGAGAATAACCTTGAGGAACAGGAAGAAGAGCTGCAACCGAGACAATGGTCAGATAAGAGAAATCTGAGTCCAAAGCAGGAATGTAATTTGAGAAAGCGTCTGAGATTTGACCCTCCCTAGTTCTCTTGAACGTAAAGGCAGGAAGGGGAGAGGCGCATTCAGACTTGTAAGATTCTGTTACTGTAACCTTATAATAAAAGTCATATTAGCATCCATAACTTTGGTTTCCTGGTCTGGACTACCTCAAAGGGCTGACATTTCTGGACTCTTGTTTTTTCTCAGCAGGTGATGGAACAATGAAGGACACCAAAGGGAAGACCTTGCAGGAGAAGGAGGAGGACTTTGAACCCCAAGTCGAACTGCATTTCACCATATTGGAAGAATCGGAAGGGGGTATTTCTCAGGGGAAGCTCTGGCACTGTGAGATTGACGCAGAGCTACAGCCTGAGAGCTCCTGTCAGCCCGAACTGGACGATGAATTACTTTATTCCGATCAGTCACGGTCCTCACCGGAAATACAGACGGTGCTCCCAGAACCTGACAGGGTAACCCAGGACAGAAGAGTGGAAATGTATCCTAAGCAAGGCTCGGAGCAGCAGGTTGAGCTGCATTTTACAATCCTGGAGGAATCCGAAGGGGGCATTTCCGAAGGCAAGCTCTGCGCAAGTGAGATAGGACGGGATGGGTCGCCAGGGGTGAGCTACCCGGGGCAGCAGTGGGATGGGTGTGTTCAGTGGAGCGAGAAACCTGGCCAGCCGTCAGGTGTGGAGAAAGAGTCTCTCCCAGCCGAAGACAGACTGGAAGCAGGTGCCAAAAGGGCAGCCCTTCAGCCAGAGAGTTCAGATCAGGTAGAACTCCATTTTACCATCTTTGATGATCCTGAGGAAAGAAGCCTTTCTCAGGGACCAGAGGACTATCCTGTCTGGGAAAGCCCATTTAAACCAGCGATTTATCAAGGTGACTATCCAAAAGAAGTTTGGGATGCATCCATTGACAGCTTTGGAGATGTCTTTGAAGCATCTTTCCAACAGCAGTTCTACGGAGGGGAGAGAATGTACCCTTGCACGGAGTGCGGGCGAGTTTTCAACAGGAAGTCAACCCTGACACGACACTGGCGGACCCACACGGGGGAGAAGCCGTACTCGTGTCTGTACTGCGGGCGGAGTTTCAGCCTGAATCTGAATCTTCTTACTCATCAGATGACCCACACGGGAGAGAAACCCTACAAGTGTCCTGACTGTGGGCAAAGCTTCACCCGTAGCACAAGCGTCACCAGGCACCAGAGAAGCCACAGGGAGGAAAGCCTTTATAAAAGTGACTTGTGGGAGGACACCTTCTCGTACCCGTGCCCTGTCCCCTTCACTTATCCGATGCCTCCAGCGGAGGAGAAGTCCTTCGTGTGCCCAGTTTGTGGAGAGACCTTTACTCACAGTGGGAGTCTCAATAGGCACTTGCGAACACACGGGGTGGAGAGGCCTTATAAGTGTGTGGTCTGTGGGGAAGGGTTCTGTTCGATGTCAAAGCTTTACCGGCACGAGAGAATCCACATGGTGGACAAGCCCTACCACTGTGAAATCTGTGGGAAAAGCTTTGCCGTCAAGTCAACGCTGACCCGGCACCAGATGCTCCACCAGGCAGAGAGGCCCTACATGTGTTCCCACTGTGAAAAGGGCTACGTTCAACGGAGCCACCTGGCCAGGCACCACCATAAAGCACACCCTGGGGTGCCCTTTAACCCTGTTAAAGCGAACAGTATGCCTGCCACCATTCTGGATTCTGACAACTTAATCACCTATTTCTGGGGAGATGAGGAAACAGACACTACCTCAGAGCCTGTTCCAACTCAGTTGATCTATTCTGGAGCAGACTGCTGAAGGACCCTAATCCTAGCCTGGAGTTCCCTGTTCCCCAGAGAGAAGCTCGCTGGTCCCTCACCTCTTGTACTCTTGTCTTTCTTAAATCTCCAGGCACTGGGATGCTTTTGATCCTAGAGTTTGGAGATGCAAAATGGATTTTTATGGTAGAAAACCAAAAAACCAAGATGGTTTTGTTGTGAACAGTCTTCGTGCCAAGATTCCTTTCTTGCCTTGTTACTGTTATTCCAGTAACTGCTCCTGTCAAGCCCATACCCCACCTTCACATCTACAGAGGATATGCCATTGTTGTGGTTCTACATGTTCTGCCTTGCAGTCCATTACAGATGGTGCCAGTATCCAAGCACTCACAGGAGACAAACCCAGCCAACAGTGAGAGCTCTGGGTAGGCGATCAGCACACTCCTGGATGAACTAGTTCACATGAACTCCAGCTGCTGAATGGAACAGAAGCTGTGAGCCATGGGTACTGGGGTCAGAGCAGATCTGTATGTCTGTTGATGCAAATCATCTTCACAGGGGGAAAGTGAGTAGTCCAGCCTGTAGCGAGATATCTAGTTGTAGGAGATGTGTGGGAGCGTGGAAGTTCATCTGAAATCATTTTTGTTTGTAGTAAGGTTTTTTTTTTTTCTTAAAGGAAGCCTATGCCTTGTTTCATCACTTCTTTGTTTTTGGTAATGGATGAACTCTTAAAAGAAATTAGTAAAATATGGAAAATGGAGAAAACATACCTAGAGGCTTTTGAGAAATATTGTTTGATGCACAAGCCAGATGTCCAGTGAGAAAGCTCAAAAAGGCAAGGGCTTTTTTTGGGGGGGGGGCAGGTGGTAAAGAGGAAAGGGCTAGTTCCTAACATCATATATAATAAGCTGCTTTTTCCTAAGTCAGGACTTTTTCCCCAATTAGCCCATTGACTAAAAGCAGGTCTCGGGCAAGATAATATTTATTCCCCATAGTTTGCTATCTGATTGCTTTACCCGAAGATCCCTCTGCGGGCGGAATGTGTATTCTGCTACTGAATAATTGTCCATCCCATCAGGAGGAGATCCATGAGGCTAGCCTCTTGTTTCTGCAGGAGCTCTCCGACGGCCTCGGGGAAGTCTGATCGGCAGAACCCAAAAGCAAAGAATTTCCGCAGCACCACAGTTCTGCAATCAGTTTACAGATGCAGTAGGATCTACAAGAAAACATGCACTATGACGCACACACTCATGTTTAGTGGCCAATCAACTTACTATTCCTTTACTAGAGTTCTGCCTTCCTGATGGGTTTCTATTTTTTCTTCTCCCAACACCCAGCCAGCGTCCCATGGCTACTGACCCAGTTGTCTCCTGATGGACTGTTCTTTACCCTATTCACCTTCCCCCCCCCAAAAAAAACTTTACACTTTTCTTACATAAAGATTTATTTTGCAATGCTTTGGTTTCCCCAAAAATCTGCAGATATTCCTCCCTGCCCCAAATTGATGATATTGTGTTAGGAGCCATACTTGAAGTAGAAATTTGGACTCTGGAAGGAATAGGCAGAATATAAATATTTTGAAGAAATAAATACAGGGATATGACAATATGGAATTTAGGCTTTCTATTTTGTTTTCCTATCCTCCAGATTTTCATGTGGCCCCCTTTGAAAGTCATCTGAGCTCGTGGACTATGACTAGTGCAGCTGTGAAGTTTACAAGTTTAAGGAAAGGCAACAGGGCTCGCTCATTCTGAGGCCATATCCTTGGTTCCATTGCTGATTTTTTTTCACGGAAATAGACAAAGTGTGCATGCTTTTTAAAATAACAGAGCATAAGTCTTGCTCAAAGAGGCTTGCCTTGCCTTTTATACATTCTTTCACCACAGAATTTAATTCCCGTGTTGGGGTTGGGGAAAAAGGATGCCCAAAATCAGGCAGAGTCTGGTAGCACCTTTTCTGACTAAAACACATTTTATTCAAAGGCAGAGGCTTGCGTGAGCTCTGCCTCACCTTCTCAAATGTCTGGTGTGGTTAAACCCAAACAAACAAGATTGTGCCTTTTAATAAAATCTGTCAGTCAGAAAAGGCGCTACCAGTCTCCACCTGATTTTTGACTACCATAGACCAGTGTTTCTCAGCCTCAGTAACTTTAAAGTGTGTGGACTTCAACTCCCAGAAGGGGGATTCTGGGAGTTGAAGTCCACACATCTTAAAGTGGTTGTGGTTGAGCAACATGGCCATAGACTAACACTGCTCTCCTACACTGTTTAAAATCTGCAGTCACTCAGTCTCTCTCTGCTTCCTCTTCATTCTCCAGGAACGGTGGTGGTGGTCATGGAGTTGTTTTGATTTCTTACTTCTGTTACTAGGCCCCCAAAGTGACTAGCCTGGAAAAAAATGTTGCTTTTGCTTGCTTTTCAATCATAGGAAGGGCTCCTCTTAAAGAAGACAGTTTTTAGGTTAGAACCTGGAAGCAGCAGTGCTGAGAAAAGAGAAGAAGAGAAATCTGTTCCTGTTTTACTAAGCTATGTATTTCTGTCCTGGACTCCAGAGCAGTGTTTCTCAACCTTGGCAACTTTAAGATGGGTGGACTTCAACTCCCAAAATTCTCCAGAGAGCATGGCTGGCTGGGGAATTCTGGGAGTTGAAGTCCACCCATCTTAATGTTGCCAAAGATGAGAAACACTGCTCTACCCTGAGAACCCTTGCTTCTGGATCTAGAAGACGTGGGGTCCTTTCAACATGAAACAAAATATTTGTATGCTTTGGAAAGAGTCTGGAAGACAAACGCCTCTCGTAAGTATCTTTCTCTCAACTTTGACAGAGCTTTGGGCAAGAGAGAGAGGTGCCCTCTGCAAATGACCGTACAGTTTCTTAACTTCGGGATCTCTCATGCTGCCCCCAGAGATGTCATTCTTGGTATTTTCTTTACGGGAGAGGAAGAGGATGATTCCCAGGGGTACCAATTTCAGAAATTGGGACACAGTTTTTTTCTGCCTGTGAGATGTGTTCCTTGGGTAAAATACTGGAGATATTACACGCTATGAAATCATGTTAATGTTATCAAACCCAGAACTGAAAGGAGAGATGAAGATGAGAGAATAGGTGGGCTGGAAGGGGATAAAAAGGAACTCGCTAACACATTGAAAACATTGATTGGCAAGTAATTCCTTGCTGAGCTTGCTCTGTGTCTTCTTGTTATGGCCTTATTTCCCTCTTGAAGATTGTGCAGGCGAAGCTGTAGAAGTGGAAGCCCTCTCAGATAGTTGGCTTGTAGCAAAGGAATTGGTGGGGATGAGCTGCTCTCTCTCCCTGTTCCCAAGCCATTCCCGAGCTATGGTCAGTCATGCCTCCAAATATGGCCGGAGGAGAAAGGCTGGAGCAGAATCCATCTTCGCGGTGGTGACAGTCGGTTCACAGGACATCTACCCTCTCTGCAGTGAGCTCACCCTCATCCCTGCCCATTATGGATGGGTGGGGTGGGGGGTATATAATTATGCTGATATTAAATAATTGCTTTGCTTTGGGAATGCTCGTCACTGTGCAGTTCTCTTAGAGTTTGTTTGTTTGTTTGTCTGACTTATATAGCTTCCGTGGAGATGCTTCAAGATTACAATTGTGGGTTGACAAACTGGAGCGACCCAATGTAAAATCATAGAATACCCAAGCAGTTTTGTACAGCCATAGTTGTCCAGACATCTAAGTTTGCCTTGTCAATACTCTTGATAAGGCCAGTTACAGCTAAAAGATAGCTGTAGCTCAACTGTACTCTTTCATTCCTCCCCTCAAATAATTTGCCCAATGTGAGCATGGCTGGGGACCCCATGCAGTCTGTAAGTCCAGGAAACAGATGGCACAGCTCTGAAGACTACGCTCCCTCAACGAGAGAGACTCTGCCATGGATTCTGTAGCCGTCTTATAGAGCGCTGTCTTTTCAAGCCAAATAGATTTTTGCAATCATGAAGAAGGCCTGTAGCTCAAAAGTTCAGAGATGCTTGGCGTACCAAAGATTTCACGTTTGCTCCCCGGCGTCTCCAGATACCCTGTCTCCTGTCCTGGAGAACAGTCAGCAGATACCAGCTTTTTCTAAACAAGTGCTCACAAGCATTGTTTCATTGTAGTTCCATGATCCTCAGCCAGCATGGGCATAAATTTACTCACCTACCCAACCGTCTGGCCTGCAGAAGCAGCAGGCAGCATTTAATAGGAAGCCAAGATGTTGGCTTATTCCAAATCAGGTCAGTAAGTCCACTTAACTACGAGGTGGGGACACCAACCTGTAGCACTTCTTCAGGGTTTCAGGCAGAATTCTCCAGGCTTTACTTGGAGATGCCAAAACCTTAATCTTCTGCCTGCCCCATCCCATAAAGGTGCTCTCTTTGCTCCCCAAAAATCAAGGCTGCTGATTACCAGACACTACCATGTTATTTTTATGGCAAGTGATTTTTTGCAGAAAATTGAAGCAAGCAAGAAATGTGCATTGTAGTTCAACCTAAGGGTTTCCCAATGCAAACTGAAATTGACAAGAAGGGAGATCCACTCAGGATGACAGGGTGAGTAATAAGAACCACTTAGTAACACTAAGGTAAATTTCATATTAGTTCCAGATAATGGCTTCTGAGAAAAACAAATGTTCAGAAATGACTGGGAAAAACTAAAAGACCATCTGGAGAAAAGGAAGCTACAAAAAATACAGGCCACACTCATCTATTTCTCTTGCCTGTAGGAATCACAGAGAATAAAACGATCCAGGCCATTCAACCCACCCAGGTTGTGTTTCTTGTGTTTCCTTCCAGAGGAAAAACCAACTCACGATCAGACCAAAAGGCCATCAAATCGGGAGCAGCTTCCTATTTTAAAAATGCACCCCACCAAATGTTAAATCCCAGGAAATCCACATCAAATGTCTAGCGGTCTTGGCTTCATGCAAGCTCCCATTAAAAGCCGACGTCCAGAGAACCTTGGAGACCTGCATAAATCTGGGGTCTGTTGGAAAACGCACCCGTCCTCTGCCGTAACTTTGTCCCTGTCTCATTCCAAGATGGTCAACACCTCTGCTATTCCCATTGATGACAACAGTAAAAAAGGATTACCTGAGAACTGAAGAGCTGGCATTTTAGCGGCCAAGGAGAGAATTAGTGAGACGCTGCAGGAGGGCACAAGGCAGGCAGGATGGATGAAAAAAGAATGCCTCATATTTTCACTTACTCGTCTGGAGCTATAATATGTGGGGTCGGTGGGGCACCGAAGTGCCAGCAATACTGTCTGGCGGCCTGGCAGGGTTGTCTGCAAGGGGGAGGAGTCAAAAAAGTCAAGATGGCAGCCACGTCCATGTGATCAAAGCCTCACCCCTTTTTCATGTGCTCATGTCAAAACGGTGAGGCTTCAATCACCCAGTTGTGGCTGTGGATGCCCCTGCTGCGAGGCCCATACCCCATGTCACTTACACCTGGAGTCCAAATGTGTGTGTATATATTCACTGTTCAATGTGCTTTCTTGTTATTACTATTTGCCTTTGGCTACTGGTAAGCTGGGGGTCCTCCTCCTCCTCCCCTTGCCCATCCCAAATGCACCTCAGGGGAAAGATGGGGGGTGGGCAGTCCGGCTACAAGCCAAAGCACGGCCCCTTGGCAGCCAGCCCTAAAAGCTGGGGGGGGGCAGTGATCTGTTGCGTGGTGGGGTAGGTGGGAGAAGGGGACGCAGGGAAGCCTGGGGGTGAGGGCGAAAGGAAATACAGAATCACCCCTGCAATATCAAATGAGACAGATG